GAGCCCAGGAGTTGAAGGTTGCTGTGAGCTGTAATGCCACGGCACTCTACCCAGGGGGACAGCTTGAGGCTCTGTCTCAAAAAAAAAAAAAAAAAAAGCATTCTATAATAGACAAACTCTTATTTGACAATGTGAATGTTACTTTCTTTGCATTACTATTATTATTGCTTAATACTTGGTTGCAGCAATCGTCTTGATTTCTTTTATGAATGTATTTATCTTCATTCATTATGAGGTTTTTATTTCTAGTCCTTATCTTAAACATTGTTATTGTTAAATTTTAAGCCTTTTTGATTTTGTGAAGGCAAAAAGTGGAAACCTAGTAAACACATGTATATGTAAAAATAAAAAATAAATAAAATAAAGTACTCATTCTAGTACCCTACTTTCATTTTACAAGTGAGAAAACTAAGGCCCAACTTTACCAAGCTAAAGTCAGAGAGCTGGTACAGTGACTCATGCCTGTAATCCCACACTCTGGGAGGCCAAGGCAGGTGGACTACTTGAGCTCAGGAATTTGAGACCAACTTGAGCAAGAGCAAGTCCCCCATCTCTACAAAAACAGAAACACTAGGCCATGCACAGCGGCTCATACCTGTAATCCCAGCACTCTGGGAGGTAGAGGAGTGGATTGCTTGACATCAGGGGTTGGAGACTAGCCTAAGCAATAGTAGACCCCATCTTGCTAAAATTGGGGGAAAAAAAGAACTAGCCAGGCATGGTGGCTAGTGCCTATAGTCCCAGCTACTCTGGAGGCTAAGGCAGGAGAATTTGCTTGAATTAGGAGTTTGAGGTTGCTGTGAGCTATGAAGTTGCTGTGAGCACTTTATCCAGGGTGACAGAGTGACAGGTGAAAAAAAAAAAAGAAAAGACAAAAGTTAGTGTTTCTCTCTACTAAAAAAGGAAATTTCTAGAAAATTAATACTCCCCCAAAACAGACTCAAATAGGTCTTAATGTGTCCCAAATGCTTTCCTAACATTAACTTATCAAATCTTTACAATGCCAGGATGAAAAGGAAGAATGTGAAGCTCAGACAAGCTAAGTTACTTGGCCAAAAAGTCACATGGATTTAAACCTAGGCAGCCCAGCTAGAGTTTGGGTTCTTGACCACTATTCTATGTCTTTTTAGCAGTGATTTAAGCTCAAGTAAGTGGCACTGTTTATGCATTTGTTAGAAATCTATAAACGCATATTTTGGGTCATTGCAGAACAGCTTCTTAAATCTCTCTCAAATCTAAGATTCAGTGATTGCCTTTCTTAAAACACAGGTGGGTTCCAACGATACAGCCCCAAGTTACACCTATTCTTTAAACAATCTTCCTCTTGAGCCCCTTTGGTTATGTAGGGCTGAGGCTACTCATTTCTCAACACAATTCTACACTCACCTTCTTTTCCCATTCCAGCCACCCCTTCTCTGAATTTTCACCACAGACATGGCTGTAGTACAAAAGTAAAATATATTTCTCAACTATGTTTTTATATTAACTATTAATTTGTATTCCTTTTTTTCTTAATTTTAAAAGGGACAAGGTATATATTCTACATTTTCCCTCAGGAAAATAAAGCAAAATTCTTTTGTATCTCATTTGATATGCTTATCTTTCTTTAATCATTTATTAGAGAATCTTCCCCACCATCATCCTACATTTTCTTTTCTTTCTTTTTTTTTTGAGACAGAGTCTCAAGCTGTCACCCTGGGTAGAGTGCCATGGCATCATAGCTCACAGCAACCTCCAACTCTTGGGCTCAGGTGATCCTCAGTTTTTCTATTTTTTAGTAAAGATAGGGTCTTACTTTTTGCTCAGGCTGGTCTGGAACTCATGAGCTCAAGCAGTTCACTGGCCTCAGCCTCCCAGAGTGCTAGGATTATAGGTGTGAGCCACTGCACCTGGCCCCTCATCCTACATTTTCTAAAATAAATGATTCTTAAACTAGGGACAATGGAATAGAAGATACATAGATAAACTCAGACAAACCATGGAACCATATATATAATTCTGTCTTAGTGAACCTTTTCCAAGTGGAGAGTTCATGGTGTTCATCGTATTTTTTTTAAAGGATTCAAGAAGTAGAAAAAGGTAAGAAATAATGATCTAAAGAGAATTCTGTGAAACATGCTCTTCTTAGTAAAGTGCCACAAGAATGGAAAAGCAAATATCCAATGTACTCAATACTGATATGAAGCCAGTAGACAACCTAATGCATACCCACAAAAGAGAAAAACTCACTTCAATTCAAGTTGGAGGGAGGGGGCACAAGGGGAGAAAGGAGAGGAAAGGAGGGGATTGGTGTAGCCCCACTTAATAGGCACAACGTAAAGGTATACCTTTTGGGTGTGGAACACAACTACAAGATGGATTATACCCAATAAATGCAAATATTGTAACCTAGTTGTTTTTACCCTCACATTAACCTGAAATTTAAAAAAAGAAGAAAATTCTGTATACAGTAGCATATACTATGGGAAATGAAATTCAAAATAAGTTCCTTAATGATTCACACTTCTGTACCACAACTCTGTTAAGTAATCTGTTTATTTGGTCAAAAAATATAGGGCTGGACAAGGTGGCTCACGCCTGTAATCCTAGCACTTGAGACCAAAGCAGGTGGATCATCCCAGCTCAGGAGTTTGAAACCAGCCTGAAAAAGAGCCAGACCCCATCTCTAAAAATAGCCAGGTGTTGTGGCAGGTGCCTATAGTCCCAGGTACTTGGGAGGCTGAGACCAGAGGATCACTTGAGCCCAGGAGTTTGAGGTTGCTGTGAGTTACAATGCTATGGCATTCTACTGGGGCAAGAAAGTAAGACTGTCTCGAAAAATATACTTATATATATATCTACACTCATGCTGCCTAGCATGGTGGCTCACATTTGTAATCCTAGCACTGTGAAAGGCTGAGGCAGGTGGATCACCTAAGCTCAGGGGTTCAAGACCAGCCTGAGCAAAAGTGCCACCATCTCTACTAAAAATAGAAAAACTAGCCACATTGTGGTTGGGGGCAGATGCCCGTAGTCCCAGGCTGAGGCAAGAGGATAACTTGAACCAAAGAGTTTGAGGTTGCTGTGAGCTATGATCCATAGCACTGTATCCAAGGTGTGCTATAGAGAATATCCCAAACAATTAGAATTCAAATAGATCTCCTTTATCTATTTAAAAATGCAATCAGGGCTCGACTCCTGTAGCTCAAGCGGCTAAGGTGCCAGCCACATACACCAGAGCTGGCAAGTTCGAATCCATTCCCCTGGGCCTACCAAAAACAACAATGACAACTACAACCAAAAAAAAAAAAAAATAGTTGGGCATTATGGCAGGCGCACGTAGTCCCAGCTACTTGGTAGGCTGAGGCAAGAGAATCGCTCAAGCCAAGGAGTTGGAGGTTGCTGTGAGCTGTGATGCCATTGCACTGTACCTAGGGCAATAGCTTGAGGCTCTGTCTCAATAACAATAATAAAAATTTAGAAATTAAAAATGCAATCCACTACAACAAGCCAATCCCAATCCTGTGTCTGCTGGTTAAATTGAATTTTGCTGTTCATAAATTTTGAGTTAACAAGTCAACATAAATGATAAGTGGCTTTATAAATATCTTCTTCAAAGTCTTTGGGACCAATAAAGAATTTATTCACGTATTCACTCATTCTTTCAACAAGTATTTACTGAATGTCAGTAGGTGCCAGGCACTGAATTTTGCCCTACCTATTATTTTGATTAATTCTTGGTTCTCCTCTAAATTGTTACATCAATTACAAATACAGGTTAGAGTATATTACTATATTTTTATGCCCAGCAATTACCATGCCATAATCTTACTGGAAACTTAATGTTTATTGAACTAGGTTGTGATAAAACACCAAGACAGGTAAAATACAAAAGCAGTAACTTCACCTTAAGAAAAGCCTTGATTTATTAAATAATAAACAAAACAAAACAGGATCAGGCTCTGTAGCCCAGGTTGGAGTGCAGTGACCTTATCATAGCTCACTGCAGTCCTGAATCCCAGGATCAAGCAATCGTCCTTTCTCCTCCTCCCAAGTAGCAGGAATTACAGGCAGGTCCATGCTACCACATCAAGCTAATTTTTTGTAGAGATGGGGTCTTGCTATGTTGCCCTGGCTGATCCAAACTCCTGGGCTCAAGTGATTCTCCCATCAAAGTGCAGGGATGGGCAACCCCTGGACAATTTTCTTAATCAGGCCATTACAGTGAGAATGACATTAAAATCTGTCAACACCAAAAAACAAAACAAAAAACGTTTAAACATACATCCTTCTGATAACGTTTTTCTTGGACATATACAGACAAGCAATCTTTCATGCTACAAAAAAGACCCTAAGCAATGTCAAAAATGGCTAAGATTCAAAAGCCTTTCAATATGGTACCATAAAGATGGAAAACTTGACAGAATCACAAGCAAATGATTTCTCCTCTATCTTTGACAGCTTTCAGGCCAACTGTTCCAGGAGCAACAACAAAAAATAACAAAGAACAAAAGAAGAAAAGGAGAAAATGCATGCTGAGATGAGCATTTCGACTCATCTCAAGCTGAGTGGAATGCTCTGAGTTACTGCAAATGACCAAAACAATCTATGGACCTAAAAAGTTGGTTGTGCAAGTTTGGCTATTATAATTCACCATATGTTAGGAACATTGTTTCCTCTTGAAAAAGTACCAAACATCCTGACTGCAGCCTTTTCCCGGTGCAGCAGATCCTTTTATTTATTTCTATGACTTTGAGGTTAAAAAAAAGAAAGAAAAGACAATATCAAGTATTTAGGAGGGGTCTAGAGAGAACTCTTCACCCCTAACCGCAGCCCATGATCGTCCCACGGGAATTGCCTAAGGACCGCAGCCCGGCCGACTGGCGTACGGGAGGCCAGCCACGCCCGGATGCGCGGCCGACGGGATCCTGGCTCTCCAGCCTGCCCGCGGGCCACTCGCTCGGCCGGAGCCGCCCAGGTGCAGGGGCGGAGCGTGAAGACAGGGTGCGGCTGGGCCTCACCTCCACGGCCTGGCCCAGCTCCAGGTCGAAGCCCACCACACACACGCAGTGCAGCCAGGCCGAAAAGCCGTCCCAGCGCAGCAGGCCCCGGCCGCGGCTATCGTCCTCTTCATCGTCCTCCGGCACGGCTCCCGGCGCCACAAGGGCCGGCGCCTCGCGCACTTCTGAAGCCGCCACCGCCTCGTCCAACAGCCTTCGAGAGCCGGGCCCCAAGCCCACTGGGCCCCGCAGAGCCATCCGCCGCCCCCTTGCTGTTCGCGCCGCCTCTACCGCGGACCGCGCCGCAGAGCGCCCTCGGCTCCACGCATGCGCAGCCGCCCCTGCGGCAGCCGCTGGGGACCCGCGGATCTGGGCGGGGGCGCTAGTCACGTGACTCTGGGAGCTGGACTCTGCACTGGGTTCTCCTCGGCGGCGACGCGAACGTGTACACGTCACGCTGCCACTTGTCTGAGATTGTGAAGCCGAAACTGGCATCCTTGTCTTAAAGCTCTTCAGGACTCAAATGGTTGTTTGTGTATCGTTGTCACCCTTGTTTGCAGTCAACGACCAGAGAATAAATTATACTTGGAATGGTAGCGTTTCAGTTATTATTGTAAGGTGTTAAGTTACTAAAGCATAATGATAACGGTGTGTAATATTTATTGAATACTTTATGCCAGTTGATGAGGCAAGTTCAAGATATTTACAATTATTACCTTATCGAAGCCTCACATAATCGCAAGCAGGTAGACCTTCTTTTTACAGATAAGGAAATTGAGTTTCTGAGAGGTTACACAACTAGCCTAACAAGTACGACAGCTCCAGTGCCAGCTTACTGTTCACACATGTGGTCTGCTGATTCAGAGATCTGTGCCTTCACTCAGCTCTTCCCTCTCCACCAAGGGCCCACCCACTTTTCTTGTTGTGCCTATCTGACTCACTCAACACTCACACATCTCAAGACCTTTCTAGAACCTCAGGTTGGCCTCAGCAGCAACCTGTGGATCAGGCTCTCTGAGCACTAGGGCAAAGGCCTGATCCCAGGCAACTTTGTATTCTGGGAAATCAGCATTGTTCCAGGCAACCAGGAGGCATTTGTTCTGTTGAATTGTTATCGCTTATTGGTCCAGCATGATACTCCTGAGTAGGAGTTATTCAGCACCTACTATGCTGAGTATAAACAGCATAGTGAAGTAAATAGGAAACAGACAATAATACCCTGATTGAAAAAATGGGTAAAATACATTTGGTAATACCTCACAATAAACACAGCACAACTCAGGCACTGTGGTGTGTGCTATAGTCCCAGATACTTGAGAGGCTGAGACAGGTTGAGGGAGGAGGATCCCTTGGGCCCAGGAATTCGAGGCTGCAGTATGCTATAATTCACCTGTGAATAGCCTCTGCACTCCAGCTGGGGCAACATAGCAAGACCTGGTTTATCATAAAACTATTAAAATAAAACAACACAGCATAGTGTTCATACTTTTACACTCTTTACACTCATTACAATATCTAATCCTCCCAACTAATCCAAAAGATAGATTAGTTGTTATTTCCATTTTACAGATAAGGAAACTGAAGCACCGTGAGATGAAGATGAAGATGACACAGCTAGCAGATGTCAGAACAAAGATTTTTTTTTTTTTTTTTGGAGATAGTCTCACTTTGTCGCCCTCAGTAGAACGCCATGGCATCACAGCAACTTCAAACTCTTGGGTTTAAACAATTCTCTTGCCTCCTCCCAAGTAGCTGAGACTACAGGCACCCACCACAACGCCCAGATATTTTTTTTGTTGCAGTTGTTTAGCTGGCCTGGGCCAGGTTTGAACCCACCACCCTTAGTGTATGTAGCTGGCTCTGTTACCACTGTGCTATAGGCACCAAGCCCAGAACAAAGATTTAAACATAGGTCTTTCTAACTCAGCCTGAGTGCTTGAGCATTTTGTGCCACTGTCCAGGCAAATCCACTCCATCTGACAAACACTGCCTTCTCCAAATTAAAATTGTTGTTTAGAGTAAGTGTTAATATTCCTATTTCCAAGGAGATGGCCATGCATCCTCAAATAGTAGTAGTGGTATTTGCTAGAGATGAATGTAGGGACCACATTTTTAAGTTAGAGGTCAAGTCTTTGGACAAAGCAACCTCCCATCCCACTCCAGAAAACCACTGTAGTTATGAAACAAAAACTATATTCTGCATTCAAGAAAGTCTCTAAATCCACTATTGGGAATAAACAGTAGCCATTTGTATTAGAAAGTAACACTGAATTGGAAGCCAAAATTACAGCACCAACTCCACCCATCATCATGATATTGGTAGGCATGCTGCTCCAAGACCCAGTTTCTGCATTGGTAAGAGGAAATGATCATTACTAACTCATCTCTCTGACTGTTGAGAGGATCTCACCCAGTGGTTCTCAACCTTCCTAATGCTACAACCCTTTAATGTACAGTTCCTCATGTTGTGATGACACCCAACCATAAAATTATTTTCGTTGTTACTTCATAACTGTAATTTTGCTACTGTTATGAATCATAATGTAAATATCTGATATGCAGGATGTGTTTTCTTTTCTTTTCTTTTTTTTGGTAGAGACAGAGTCTTACTTTATCGCTCTTGGTAGAGTGCCAAGGCATCACACAGATCACAGCAACCTCCAACTCCTGGGCTTAGGCTCTTGCCTCAGCCTCCCAAGTAGCTGGGACTACAGGCCTGGCTATTTTTTGTTGCAGTTTAGGCGAGGTTGGGTTTGAACCTGCCACCATCGGTATATGGGGCCTGCACCCAAGCCACTGAGCCACAGGCGCCACCCTGCAGGGTATATTTTCACTGGCCACGACCCACAGGTTGAGAACCACTGAATTCTAACCTATTCTAATGCACACATTTAACTCAATGCTACTTTATTATTAATGATTAATGAGATCTAGGCAGTACCTGTTGCTCAGTGGGTAGGGCGCCTGCCATGTACAGCAAGGCTGGCCTATTCAAACCAGCCCCAGTCAGCTAAACAATGATAGCTGAAACAACAACAACACCAAATAGCCAGGCATTGTGGCAGGTGCCTGTAGTCCCAGCTACTTGGGAAGCTAAAAAAAAAAAAAAAAAAAAAAATTTAATGAGATCTAAACACCAGTTGTTCCACAGGGGTCATTCTTTTTTTAATTAAAAAAAATTTTTTTTGAGTCAAAATCTCACTTTGTCAGCTCTTAGTACAGTTCCATGGCATCATAGCTTATAGCAACCTCAAATCTCTGGATTCAAGTGATCCTCTTGCCTCAGTCTCCCAAGTAAGTGGGACTACAGGCACCTGTCACAATGCTTGGCTAATTTTGGAGACAAGGTCTCTCTCTTTCTCAGGCTCATCTCAAACCCCTGACCTCAGGCAATCCATCTGCCCTGGCCTCCCAGAGTGCTAGGATTACAGATATGAGCCACTGCACCCGGCCCAGGACTAGTTCTTTGACATGGACACAAATAGCTATTCTCTGAAGTGCTGCTTTATAATATTGGGTTATGGATAATCTTGTCAAAATATAATACCTTGAAAATAAGACATTAAGCGGGCCAGAAGTTTCAGAAAGAAAGCACACCAACACTCTAGAGAATTTTAAAAGTGAAGAAAAAAAGTATTCAATCTGTTTTAGGGGGAAAAAAACACACTTAAACCTTTGCATACAAAGTAAATAACCACCAGGACAATAAAGTAGCTATGGCTTTTTTTCCTCTCTACCCTCTCTACCATTGTGACATTCTGTCACAGAATCTATGTTAAGTTTGTTTTGTCGATTCTTGTTTGGAAGCTGAGAAAAAAAATACACCTTCTTCCTTCTTAGGGTTTGTCATCAGAACCTTTGCAGCTGAAAGGATTTTGAATTGGGTCATCTCTTACTAATGAATGTTCTTTTTTTTTTTTTTTTGAGACAGTCTCACTCTGTCATCCTGGGTAGAATGCCATGGCCTCATACCTCACAGCAACCCCAAGCTCCTGGGCCTGAGCAATCCTTTTGTCTCAGCCTCTGGAGCAGCTGGGACTATAGGTGCCTGCCATAATGCCTGGCTAGTTTTTTCTATTTTTAGTAGCGACAGGGTCTTCCTCTTGCTCTGGTGGTCTCAATCGCCTGAGCTCAAGCAAATCACCTTCCTCTGCATCCCAGAGTGCTAGGATTACAAGTGTGAGCCAGCATACCCAGCCTGAGCCACCATACCCAGCCAACCTCTGATGTTTAGTCAGCCAACCTCTTTTCCTAAACTTATATTAATGTTAAGTCACTACCTTTCAGAGCTATTTTCTAGATGTTCAAAGGTGCTAGAAAAATTTTTCCTTTTATGTAGACAAAATCAGCTACTCTAATGTACACCTATTAGTCTAAGTTGTCTTCCTGAGATTACATAGAAGAGTCCAATTCTACAGGATAGCCCTATGAATGTTTGAAAATAGTTGTCCCCACTGCCATATCTTCTAATTTCCAGGGTAAACCACCCCAGATCCTCCAAATATTCCTCAAAGGATGCAGTTGCTAGGCCATTCATTATCCTGTTGCCCAAGTTGGGCATACTCCAACTTATCAACATGACTCTTAAAATGCAGGGGGAAACAGCATCTTCCAGGTGTGATCTGACCATTGCACAGTATACCCTGGGGCTATTACCTTCCTTGTCCCAGCCAACAGCCTTAATGCCAGTTCAGATCACATATACTTGTTTTGGCAGCCAGGTCACATAACTGGCTTGTGTGGCATGTACTGTCAACCAAGCCCTAGATCTTTTTTCATATGCGGAGCACTTAAGTCAGAGTAGGCTGCTATAGCCAAGAGCATGACTGGATTCATGGCTCTGCTGCTCTTCTAATGTTACCAAGAATGCTGAAAACAAGAATAAAAACATTTCAAACTTCCCTACTCACCCCTACCCAAACTCTTGACATTTCAGCAATTTTCATAGTAAAAAAGAAAGAAAGATGAAGGAAGGAAAATAGGAAGTAGGGAAGAAGGGAGGGAAAAAAAAAGAAAAGAATATTAGACAATGGTGTGAATTGCAATGTTAGGTCTCTGGGCTTAGTTTTACCAAAAACTCCTGCAGGGAATCCAAATGCCCTAAATAACCACCCTGATGGGCAACCAGGGAACTTTCCACTTGCCCTTAAAGTTAATGCAGTCAAGGCTGCACTGCTGGGACATAACTACACTGTGGTAACAAAAAACAAGCAAACAAACAAACAAAACCCAAAAAAAAAACAAAACAAAAACAGAGAAATAAGCAGAGGCCCAAGGACCAATATGTAATCAATAGGGAACTGAATATTTTTTGGGGGGAGA